AACTACTCTGGGCTCACCCCTGAACTGTGTATGCTTGGATCTAATACTATTCAGTTTACCATACACTTTGGGAAATGAACTACCAGGTAGACCACTGCCTAGGTCTCAGATTTACCATCAGGTAGTGTATATGCAAGATAAATCCAAAGATCACTGCAAAATCTGAGAACAGAACAGTAGTGGAACCACAGTGCACAGAAACCAGGAAAACCTTGTGGTCTCTCTACCTTCCTCTATCCCTCCTTCCCTCCCTCCCTTTCTTTTCCCCACCATGTGAAGATACAGCAAGAAAATGGTTACCTGCAAGCCAGGATGAGAGCTCTCATCAGGAACTCAATTGTCAGTAAGTACCTCTGTTATCCTAAAAGATAAAGACCTTAGTTCTTGTCATACCTGAAAGACAAGTTTGCAGTCAGGAGATGGTGCGTTGTATAGCGAAAGATTTTAAAAAGATTTAATTAAAGGAAAGGAAAAGTACACCCCCAAGTATGGGAAGTGGGCTGATCCAAGGGAGGAGAAAATGATGGATTTTGTCTCCCCTTTCTCTTACACCCTCACTTAGAGGTGGTCTTTTGATTGATTGATGGCTCTTATCCCTGGAATGCTTAGTCATGTTTGGGCCCTTTGCACATGTCCTTACCCACAGTGTATACAGAAAAACCCATGGTTGGTGGTGGGGTGGGGTCCTAAAGCACAATGTTAATTATAATACAATGAGCATTGGGTTGTGTCCTGTTAAGTCCTTTCTGCTACCGGGCATTCGTGGCTGTCGGAAGTAAAGTCCCTTCATGCTGGAGGTGGGCATAACACCATCTTCCAGGCCCTCGCCCTCTCCTCTACCTATCTGCCCAGTGTCCCCACTTACCTAACTACCTAATACCTTGATTGTGGATTACTCAGTCTCCAGAACTGTGAGCAATAAATGGCTGTTGTTTAAGCCACACAGTCTATGGTATTTTGGTATAGGAACTCAAGCTGACTAAAACATCCAGGAAAAAACTTTTTAAAGTAAACAGAAAAAGAAACAAGATAGGAATCAGAACAGTAAACTAGAAAAAAAAATCACAGAACAAGGCAGTTGTGGAGGGATTGAGAAATAAAAATAGAATAAGATATACAGAAAACAAATAGCAAAATTGCAGAAGTAAATCCTTTCTTATCAATAATTACTTGAATTGTAAATGGATTAAACTCTCCAATTGAAAAGAAAAGATTGGAAGAATAGATGTTTAAAATGATACAAATACATGTTGTCTAAAAGAGACTCACTTTAGATCCAAGGACACAAGTAATTTGAAAAAAAAAGGGTGAAAAGAAATTCCATGCAACAAAAAACAAAAAACAAAAAACAAAAAAATGCCAAAAGAGACCTTGAATGGCTATACCAATATCAGGCAACATGGACTTGGAAGGCAGTAATTGTTAAAAGAAACAAAGACATTATGTGTTGACAAAAAGGTCAATATATCAAGATACCAGTTATGAACATATATGCCTCTAACAAAATGTCCACAAAGTATTTGAAGCAAAAACTGACAAAATTAAAAGGAGAAATAGATAGTTTTATAGTAGCAGTTGGAAACTTCAGTATTCCACTCTCAGGAATAGATAAAACAACTAGACAGAAGATCAGTTTAAAAACAGAGGACTTGAATAATGAACCAACTAGATCTAAAACACACCTAGAGAACATCCTACTCAAAATAGCAGATTACATATTTTTCTCAAGTGCACATGGAATATCCTCCACAATAGACAGTATGTCAGACAACAAAAACAAATCAAGTCTCAATAAATTCAAAATGATTGAAGTCATAAAAAATCAATCCTATTTCTATGTATTAGCAATGTATAGTTGGAAACAGGATTTTTAAAATGCCATTTACAATAGCTTTAAAAAATAAATTATTTATACATGTACTTGGGTATAAATCTAACAAAACAAATATAGGATGTATATTTTGAAAACTTTAAAATGCTAAAGACCTAAATAAATGGAAAGAAATACTGTGTTCATGGATTCAAAGACTCAGTGTAGTAAAGATAAGAAATTGATCTATAGATTTAAGTCAATTAAAAAAATTTTTTATTTAATTATTTTTTTAAATGGAGGTACTGGGGATTGAACCTAGGACCTCATGCATGCTAATCATGTGCTCTACCACTTGAGCTGTACCCCCACCCCCAAGATTTAACTCAATTAAAAGAAAAAAAAGCTTCTAGCAGAACTTTCGTAGATACAAAAGCTGATTCTAACATTTATACAAAAAGTAAACAAATAAGAATAGCTGAAACACTTCTGGAAAAAAATTAAGTTGGAGAAATTACACTATACGATTTTAAAGCCTTTTATAAAGTTAGAATGGTTAAGACAATGTGATATCAGTGAAGGAAGAGACACATAAATCAATGAAACAAAGTAGAAAGTCCAAAAGCAGATTTACCCAAATATGACCTTTGACTTTTTTTTCTTGATGGGGATAGGTAATTAAATTTATTTATTTATTTATTTATTTTTTAATGGGGGTATTGGGGATTGAACCTAGGACCTCGCGCATGCTAAGCATGTACTCTATCACTGAGCTATACCTTCTCCCCGACCTTTGACTTTTAACAGTGGTGCAAAAGATATTCAGTGAAGAAAGCAAAATTTTTTCAGCTAATGGAACTGGAATAATAGGATACACTTAGGTAAAACAAAACAAAGCACCTTTACCTAAATATGCTAGATTATATAAAAATTTACTCAAAATAGATTATTGGTTTAAATGGAAAACATGAAACTATATGAAACTTATAGGAAAAATAGAGTGAAACTTCTGTGACCTAGGGTTAGACAAAAAGTTCTTTGACATAAAACTCAAAATACAGGACAAACAAAATTTGAATCTTAATCAAAATTAAAATCTTTTGCTGCATGGAAGACAGTTGAGAGAATGAAAAGACAAGCTACATAATGGAGAAAAAAATTTTCAAGCTATATATTCAGTAAAGAACATGTATCAAGAATTTACCAAGAAATCTCAAAAGTCAACACTAAGAAGACAAACAAGTCCATTAAAAAATGGGCAAAGGCTTGAACAGGCACTTTACCAGGAAGAGACAGAGATAGCAAATGAGGCATGAAAAATGTTGAAAGTCATTAGCCACAATGCAAATTAAAATTAACAATGTATGACAAACCTATCAGAATGACTAAAATTAAAAAAATACTGACAATACCAAGTGCTGTCAAAGATGCAGAACAATAGCAATTTGCATGCATTGCTAATAGGAATCAAAATGATATGATCGTTCTGAAAAGCAGTTTGGTAGCTTCCTACCAAAATTAAACACACCACATGACCCAGCAATCTCACTCCTGGGTATTTAGCCAAGAGAAATAAAAACTAATGTTCTTACAAAAACCTGTACACAGATATTTACAGAGCTCTATTTACAGTCATCAAAAACAGAAAACAAACAAATGTCCTTCAAAGAGAGAAACAACCTGTATATATGTGTGTGTGTATGTATATATATATATATAAAATGTACATATACATATATATACATATTACTACTCAGCGATAAAGATGAATAAGCTTTTGATACAGGCAACAGCCTGGATGAATTTCAAAGGCATTATGCTGAGTGAGAGAAGCCAGTCTCAAAAGATCACATACTGTATAATTCAATTCATATGATATTCTCAAGATATAAAACTATAGCAGTGGAAGACAGTGATTTTTAGGGGTTGGTGGTAGGGGAGGGTATGATTATTAAGAGATACCATGAAGGAATTCTTTGGGTTATATAGTTTTTCAGTATCCCAATTGTGACAAATCTGTATGTGTGCTAAAATTCATAGTGCTAAGTACCAAAATAGTCAATAATAAGAAAAATAAACATATACAGCCAACATCTCGGCACACAAAGGTACACAATAAATGTTGTACTGATTTACAACTGATGTTGAAGTCCACTACTGCCCATATTCCACCCTGCCTAGTTATAATTACTGTGTCCACTGTCTGATCACATATATGTAGGCAAGAATGAGTATCCTGGAGAAAAGTCAATTAGAGACAAACTTCAGGTCCCTTTCACTGTCATGGACATAGTTATCTTTAAGGTCACCATGTTTGGAACACTCATTTTTCACACAGCACAATCCTTTGGAGGAAGAGTGATAAATATGTGCTAATTGTTTCACTAACTGCTACTTCTTTCCTTTTTCTTAACAATCTCTAGAATCTTCCCAGGTGGGATTAGCTCCAACTCCAAATTTAGAAATGGCTTCCAATTATCTCAAAGCAATCAGTCCTTTATTTCCTTTGACTCCTGTGATTGACTTAGTGGTTGGATCCATGGACCAGAAAAAGGCAGTCAAGGCCCCAAAGACGCTATATCTGGATTACTGTGTGAGCTGTGAAGTAGAAACCGTTTTTTGTTTGATTTGAACCTGAAACCATGTCACTCCAAGGACTGGTTACCATCTTTCAGTGATAAGAGGAGAGTCTGCTGAGAGAGCAAGGAGGCAGAGAAATGAACTGGACAGTGAGAAACTTGTTTCTGGCCATAGCATTTTTTCCTCTAGTCCAGTTTCCCACTTAACTAGGTGATAATAATTCCAGACTCCTTCCCATCCTGCTAGCTCAGAATCTCTAGCGAAGACCCAGGAAACTAGTCTTAACCTGAAGCAAGCCCTAATGTTGGAGTTTTCAGGAATATAGACCAATAAATTTCCTTTATTGTTTAAGAGAATTTGAGATAGTTCTGTTACTTGCCAACAAAAGCATTCCAGTTGATAGAAGCCAGCTAGATTTGTTTCCTTTTATTTTCTAAAAATCATTTCTTTGCAGAGAAGTAAGCATAAGAGTTCAATGGGTTACTATTTTCATGCCTCTGATAAGTTCAAAGGACAACCTCAGTCAGGATTTCTAGAACAACCTGAAAAGAAAAAAAAAAACTTCCCTCTACTGCTCCTCCCTCTGCTCCTCCCTCTGGCCCTCCTTTCTTTGATTAAATATGTATTAGGACAACTTTTCAAAAAGGCTTTTCTGTGGTGGTCAGAATCATTTCTAGAACTTTGAAACCGTAGACTCTCTAAGATGTACCTCAGTGCTGCAAATCATCGCATACCTCTAAGTGATGGAAACAGCATTCCTATCATTGGACTTGGTACCTACTCGGAACCTAAATTGGTAAGCTGATCGTTCTCTCCCTCTTTTTTTTTTATTAACACCTTCCTAAAGGATAAGCTGTAATTCATTTTGAATGGATTTCATTGATTGACTTTTTGTAATAATGAATGCAGCTTGCAAGGACTGCTATTTGGCTGAATGAGTATTGACTCAAAGTTTAAACTAGATCAGTTAATTATCTTAAAGTATCTTGGCTTAAAGAATGGGACCTTTCTGCTTCCTTTTCTAAAATTCAGCTGAATGCTGATTATTAGATTGAACTGATGCACATGAAATTTCTGAGTTTATGGTTTGTGATTTTTTTAAGTTCATATTTGAGATTTTTTAGTTCAGTCTAACAAACATTTAGTGAAAACCTACTATGTATGAAGCACTAGGCTATAGAAGCTTCAAATATGAAGAGAATGTATCTCCACTGTCTAGGGATCAAAAATCGAATACAGAAGACAGATTCTTTAATAACTAATCATAGAACAGTGAAGAGTAAATGCTGTCTGAGAATCTGAAAACATAGGAAAGGGAATAAACTTGACCAGGAGGACTGAAGTGTGTTTCCATTAAAACACAGAAAAGATTCTACTTGTAATAAAAATATCTCTCTGTTTTCTGCATTGCAATTCGACATTTAATGCTGATTGCCAGAATAAATGGTGGTATCTAGAAATGCTACTGAAATTTGAATGATCATGTATAAATGAACTGTGTAAAGCTGAGTCTGAATTAGTTAGAGAAACAGAGCTGAGACAGGAATTTTAGGCAGAAAGAGAAGCATAGAGGCATAAGAATATGAATCTGATTATGTCACACCTCTGCTTAGTTATTTCAGTAGCTCCCTATCAGTTATAGGGTAGAGGCCACACTCCTTACTTGCACATTGGGCCTTAATGGTTCAGTCAAGACTTGTCTGTCCAGCAGCATCTACCACCATGCCTCCATCTCTATGTGTAAAACATAGCGACCTGGGTTCCTTGAACAACTCTCCCATCTCCGTGTCTTTGAACGTGCTGCCCTCTACCTGGAACACCCTTTCTCCTGATTTGTCCACTTGGCTAATTTTTATTAAACCTTCAAGACAACTCAAGGATACCTCTCCCTAGAAACTCATCTGCCAGCCACCACAACTTGCCCCTCCTGCATGTTCAACTCTATTGTAGCCCCTTGTGCTCAATTCTATGGTGGCATTTATCACACTATATTGTAACCATTGTTTCTCTGCTATCTTACCCACAAGATGTGAAATCCATTAGGAAAGAGACCATGTCTTATTCAGCTCTATATTCTCAGTATAGTGTCTGGTATGTGATGGGTGTTCAGCTGATGCTTGTCAAATGAGTGAATGAGTTTGTGAAAGGAGATGTATGTGTATGTATATATGTGTGTATCTATATCTATATCTATATGCATGAGAGGATATGGAGATGTAAATGGATACAATAATAATAGCTAAAATTTTCTTAACCATATGCCAGGAACTCTTTGTAAGTACTTTATAGTACATGCATTTTCTAAGTTAATCCTCACAACATTATGAAAGAGATATCACTTTACCCCATTTTACAGATGAGAAAACTGAGGCATGGAAAGATTAACTGCCCCAAATTTATAATGCTAAGAAAGAGAGCTGGGATTTGAACCAATGTAGTTTGGGCCAAGATCCTATCCTCTGAATATATTGCCTGATATAAATATGTGCCATGTCAAAGAAGCTGCATGTTTCTGACTACAACTTTCTATATGTATTTCTATATATGAAAGTATCTAGGAATATATATCCAGAAAGTATCTAGGATGGATGGATGGATGGATAGATAGATAGATAGACAGACAGACAGATAGAATGATAGATCTAGAGTGTGAATCTGATTATGTCACACCTCCGATTAATTCTTTCAATGGCTCCCTGTCAATTATATGGTTCCTTACTTGCATCTCTCTCTCTCTCCTGAAACTCAGTGGGGCTCAAAGTGCTGCATGAACCAATAAATATTATTAAGTGCTTATTATGTGTCTAGTAATAGTAAATGCTACAGGTTGGAGACTTTTAAAGCAGTCTTGTGTCATTTCCCGAAAAGAGTTGTAACTCACTTCAGAAGATAAGACATACACCAATTAGAGAATGTGACGTTAGAGGAATTCTGTTAGAAATGAAGATTGTGCATGCACTAACCACATTTGTGATCAGAAATACGGAGTTAATGGTATGTCTCCCCAAATCAGACTCTAATGTGAAGAAAAATACCCACCATGGAGGATTTAGGGAAGGTAGACCTGGGTTGAGGGGGAGATGGAGAGCAGGGAGGGTAGAGTACCTCGGAGCACTCAGTGCTTTCTGATCCAAGCCACACAGTTGACAACTCTCTCACCATCTGATGAGACAGACACTGGGAGGACCTGTGCTCAAGTCAGTCACGGTGAAATTAAAGTACCAAATTAGATTTAACTTCAAAATCTTGGTCCTAGAAGTGCAACCTGATGCCAAAATTTGGTCTTCTCTCCGTGGTGTGCCTGAGATTCTTCTCAAAACCTTTCATTCCTCAAGAGCTAGCACAACAGGCTGAGTAACTGGTGAACTGGAATTCCCTCGCGTGTTGTGTATATTATCAAGCCAGTCCATATTTGTCCTGGGATCCTGTTCCATTTTGATACAGAAGTTAGAGTGCACAGGGTGCCGGGGAAGATCAAGGTTTGTCTTCATAGGGAGGTGGGGTGGGAGCAGAGGTGGAAGGCTAAAATAGGATAAGAGAGACTAACCTGACCCTGCCCTCCGACTTCTGCCCTGTTTAGACTCTTTTGTAACACGTAGCAATAGGAACTGTGGGACAGCAGCTGGGAAGAACATTATTGTGGGGCTGTGTGAGGCTAACCAGCCCAGCTTCTTCTAACTTACAAAGGGTTTCTTTCTCTTAATATGCCCAATTTTCTTATAAAGGTGCTTCATACCTGTGGAGTCAAGGGAATTTAAGGTGGAACCAACATTTAGTAGCACCAAGCTCTCTGTGTATTTCCTCACTTGATTATCACTAACGAAAACTAAAATGTACAAATAGTATGTGTGACATTTCCCTATGATAGCTTCCCAGAATGTCTTCATTACAGGGAAAATAGTCTATGATAGCCTTCCACCAGATTTGCCTTCTTCCTGTCTCTCTCCCTACCCTATAGCTACATCTGAGAAAGCTAATAGGTGAGAATTTTGAACCTTGTTCCTTGTTTCTGCTTTGATAGAAATTAATTTACTTTCTATGCATATCAGCCCATGAGTTAATAACTGATATTTATCAAAAACTTCAAATAAAACTCAAGAATGTTACCAGGTGTGCAGATGACACAAATCCAGGTAAATATTTTGGAAAATGGGCAATAATTCATATATTCATTATTTGCCTACCGTATGTGAGGCATTTTTCTGGTTAACACAGAGATTGAAACAATGGGCTAGAAACAAGGGATTTAAAATCTGTAAGTGGAGTGACTGAAGGCAGAAAAAATAAACACATGTGTAACTAAAATATAAAGAAAAGCTGACGTGCTTGAAGAGAGGGAACTTTTGTTCAAAGATGAAAGTAACAATGAACAAATCCAGTCATGGGGTAGGTCAGAAACTTCAGGCTATGGGGAAGGAGTGGCCTAGGAGGGTAGACTGGGGTTGTAATGGATCCAGTATTCCCTCCTGGGTGGCCCTGGTTGAGATTTCTGTAGCTGCAGTTTTCACACTCTGAAGAGTGAGCCAAAGGCTTTGCATATGGGGGCAAAGGAGAGGTAAAGTCCAGGCTCTTGGTGAGTACCTAGGAGGAGTCTGAAGCATCAAGTTCATTCTGTCCCTGAGCTGGAGGAGGCGGGGGCACAAGGCTTTGGACCCCTTCTCAGGCATGTGCCATCTTTTAAATATTCCTTGGTTTTTCCTCAATGCCCATTTAATCCCCCCCCCCTCCTTTTTAACCAGGGAACCTTGCTTCACCTGGAGAAGGCAAAGCCTTGTTCTTACACCAAGTATTTTTTTTCAATCTGCTTTTAATCTGAGGACAGGATGTTAAAGAACAGTAATTATTTAATGACACGTTAAAACATCATAAAGGAATCTTTATTCAAAGGGGAAACTGCCGTGATTGGTATAAGGGACCACTGATGGAATTTTGCAGTCGGGGAGAGAGACTGGTGTCAACTCTGAATACATGGGCAAATGGGAATTCATAACCAAGGAGCAGGGTCTGAGTCAGTAGGTAGAAAATTACTAAGTAATTCTGGCTAAACCGACTTAACAGGATTCTTGTTGAAGACAGGGCTGGGCAACTAGGCATCACCTGGGTCACCATGGACGATGAGAAACCCGATTTGATAGCGAGAGTGGTCAGGTGTGGAGGGTGAGAGGTTGTGGTTAAACTGACTTAGCAGGATTCTTGCTAAGCTTGGACAGAGCAGAAATGAGCATGAAAGTCCGTGTTGGAAAAGAGTTCAAAGGAGCCTGATTAGAATTTGGTCACTGAAAGAATCTTTGTCAGGGTTGAGGGTGGTCTCACAATCTGCCTAAAGGGACCAGGGACTAGGTAGAAAGCATAAATAAGTGGTCCTGGTTTTGTTCTCAGTTTTGTTATGCTTTCCCCTTTTGATAGTACATATTAGAGCAAGAAAAGCTTTATTTTCTTCTTTGTTACAAGCAAAAAGAAAACACATGGAACTGACACTCAGGAGACTATTGCCGATCGAAGACACAGTAAGCAGAGTACTGGCAATTCCACTCCCCGTACTAAATGAGGATAGCCGTTTCATCATGACAGCCAGTTGTCATACGTAAACCGAAGTCCAGTGTGGCTGATCTTCTCACATTTTTCAGAGACTACTGTGAAGTAATTAATAATTTTTAAGTAATGGCAATTCATTTACATTTTTGTAAAATGCTATATGGGCTAAATATTTTAAGGGTCAAGGAACAAAGAAAATATTTCAGTTAATATTTGTTTTTCACTTTTAGTAGAGTATCTCCTGAGTTCTTTGCAGTACCT